GAAATCAAGCAGTGTAATATTTCCAACTTTTTGGTTCTTTCTCAAGATTGATTTGTCTATTCAGAGTATTTTGTGGTTTCATACAAATTTTAGGATTGTTTATTCTATTTCTGTGAAAAATGCCATTGGAATTTTGATAGGGATTGCACTGAATCTGTAGGTTGCTTTGGGTAATTTGGATATTTTAACAACACTGATTCTTACAATCCATGGGCATGGAATATCTTCCCATTTATTTGTATCATCTTCAACTTCTTCCAATAATATCTTATAGTTTTCAGTGTGCAGGTCTTTCAGTTCCTTGGTTAAATTTATAACTTTATAATGTAATGCAATTGTAAATGGGATTATTTACTTAATTTCTCTTTCTGATAGTTCATTATTAGTGTATTGAAATGCAACAGATTTTTGTATATTGATTTTATATTCTGCAAATTTATCGAAGTTTTTTATTCTAACCATTTTTTTGATGGAGTCTAGGGTTTTCTATATATAACATCAGGTCATCTGTAAGTAGTGACATTTTTACTTCTTCCTTTCTGATTTAGATACCTTTTATTTCTTTTTTTTTTTAAGATTTGTTTATTAGAGAGACAGTGAGCATGAGCCAGGAGGAGGGGCAGAGGGAGAGAGAATCTCAAGCAGACTCCCCGCTGAGCGCAGAGCCCCACATGGGGCTTGATTCCAGGACTCCGAGATTATGACTTGAGCTGAAACCAAGAGTCAGATGCTTAACTGACTGAGCCCATCCAGGTGCCCCAAGATACCTTTTATTTCTTGTTCTTGCTTCATTGCTCTGGCTAGGACTTCTAGTACTATGTTGAATAAAAGTGGTGAGAGTGGGCATCCTTGTCTTGTTCCTGATCTTAGGGAAAGCTTTCAGATTTCCACTGTTGAGTATGGTGTTAGCTGTGGGCTTGTCATATATGCCCTTTATGATGTGGAGGTAGATTTCCTCAGTGTCCACTTTGTTGTAAGTCCTTATCATGAATGGTTATTGAAGTTTGTCAAGTGCTTTTCTATTGAGAAGATCATATGATTTTTATCCTTCATTTTGTTAATGTGGTGTGTCCCATTGACTGGTTTGTGGATTTTAAACTATCCTTGCATTCATGGAATAAATCCCACTTGATCGTGTTGAGTGATCCTTTTAGTGTGTTGGTGATTTGGTTTGCTAATATGTAGTTGAGGATTATACCATAAGGTATATCTGTGTTTATCAGGGATATTGGTCTGTAATTCTCTTTTCTGTGGCATCCTTGTCTGGTTTTGGTTTCAGGGGAATGCTGGCCCCATAGAATGAGTTTGAAAGTGTTTCTTCCTCCTCTATATTTTGGAAGAATTTGAGAAGGATGGGTATTCTTCTTTGAATGTTTGGTAGAATTAACCAGTATTTGTTGAGAGGAAGGAAGTCTTAATTTAAAAAAATAGACTATTACTAGGAGAGGTATAACACATTACAAAGAAATAAGAAAAATAAATGTACTGGCATTGCACACTTAGTTTTATCTTTGTTATTTGCAAAGGAACACTTGTGGGATGACTATTCAGATAACATTTTTCTGAAGTTACATCCACGCTATTTGTCACATTTTCTCAGCTGTGATCAGAGCTGTGTTGTCCATGATCTCCCCGTCTTAGCTCAGTCATAAAGATGCTCTCCTTTTAGTCACAGCGTTATCAAGATGCCATTCACATACCACACAACTCACTTATTTAAAGTACATGATCCAGTGATTTTTAGTATGTTCAGCCTACCGTGACTGTTACCAAAAATGGTATTTGGACATTATCTCCCTCCTTCCCCACACTGCCCTCTCCCTAGGCAATCACCAATCTAGTTTTCTGTATCTCTAGATTTACCTATCCTGGATAGTTCATGTAAGTGGAATCATATAATTTACAGTCTTTGGGACTGGCTTCTTTATGTAGCATAATATTTAAAACGTTCATCCCTGTTCTAGCATGCATCATTAATTCATTAATTTTAATGGCAAATTAATATTCCATTAGGTATTCCATATTTCATCTCTTCATTTATCATTTAATGGATTTCTGTGCTGTTTCCACTTTTTGGCTGTTATGAAGAATGCTGCTGTGAACATTCGTGTGCAAGTTTTGTGTGGACAGCTGTTTGCATTTCTCTTGGGTGTTTACCGAGAATGGAATTGCCAGGTCTATCATAACCCTATAGTTAACTTTCTGAGGAACTGCCAAATGTTTTCCAAAGCAACCACACCATTTTACATTCCCTCCAGGAGTGTACAAGGGTCCCAGTTTCTCCACATCCTTTCCAATACTTGTTACCTCTGCTTTTGGTTATAGCCATCTTAGTGGGTGCAAAATGGTAACCATTGTAGTTTTTTTAAAACATATTTTATGTAAGTATGTTGTATGTATGTATTTGTAAGTAATCTCTACATCCAGCATGGGGCTTGAACTCATGACCCCGAGATCAAGAGTCCCATGCTCTACCAACTGAGCCAGCCAGGCGTCCCTCACTGTAATTTTAATTGGCATTTTTCTGATGGGTAAAGGTGCTGAATATTGTTTCAGACACTTATTGGCTGTTCTTCTTTGGAGAAATGTCTGTTCAGATCCCTTACCCATTTTAAAATTGGGTTATTTGGTCTTTTTATTATTGATTTGTAATGGTCCTTTATGTGTATTCTAGATATATGTCCCTTGTCAGATAAATGATCTGCAAATGTTTTCTCCTAGTTCGCTATTTTTTTCAGTCAGGAAGGGAAGGAAAACTGAAATGTATTAAGGTAACTATTGTGATTAGCATTATACTTAGGCTGTAGAAGTGCCAAAAATGATTTCTACCTTTTAGAAAGGTTTCTTTGGAGTTCCTAGACTTTTGTGACATAACTGGAAAACAACACAGAACAGTGTATGTTAAATAGTACACAATCTCTGTCAAAATGGAATGGAAAAAAGTATGAAAAATGAATGCCCTGGGATTCCAAGGAACTGAGGTTGAACGTAATTGATTTAAATTATTTATTTTGAGTAGAAATACATGAGCAAATGTTAACTATTCAGAACAACTTTTTAAAAAGAGTATTCCGGTTTGATTCAGCTTCCACAGAGTTTCGTAGTATCCTATATACTGTGTCAGTCTTCCTGCCGGATTGTGTCTGTTTCTCCCTGTGCTCCCCATACTGGGCACAAGGCCAGTAACCATTTGTTGAAGGAATGAGCAAACACGAGTATGGGCTAGAGCCCTCAGGGAGTGTGGCATTGATTAAGCACTTTCCCAAAGTTGTCACAAGTGGAAAGAGCAAAAGGTGGAGGGGCCCTGGGTGTCCTTCAAAACTCCACCCGGAACCAGCTCTGCGGCAGCGGCATTTCCGGTCCGATAGCCTCATTTTGTAGTGAGGGGAATGCTCTGGATCTTCTCCTTTAAATATTCTGAGGCTTATGAGCTGCATAAACTTAAAACATTTAGAACCAGCTAAAAATTCTCTACGTAGAATCTGAATGCATGATTAAGGTTTTGTGCTAAAATAGCACTGACATTAGGACCTGCCATTTCTATAAAATTGTGTCAAGGAAATGGTATTTCTAATATTGGATGTAGTGAGAAGATATTTACAAGGCAGTATCTTTTTTAAAAAAAAGGATTTTTAAAATTTATTTTTGCGAGAGAGAGAGCACAAGCAGGGGGAGCCACAGAGGGAGAGGGAGAAGCAGACTCCCCACCGAGCAGGGAGCCCGACTCTGGGCTGGATCCCAGGACCCCAGGATCATGGCCTGAGCCGAAGGCAGACGCCCAGCCAGTTGAGCCACCCAGGTGCCCTGCAAGGCAGTATCTTAAGAATTATCATTAGGTAGAATGTTAGAATTCATCTATCAACTTATTTATACCCTATCTACTTTCTTTCAAACAAGATTTGAGGTGGCAATTCAAGCTAGTATCTTTTCCCCTAAGGCAAAAGGTTCTTAGATGCTATTAAAGGACATTTTATTTGTTATTTTTATCTTTTAAACAACCTCACACTTTTGGTATTTCAGAGGCTAAAAATTTTTAAATAGGATTAGGAGAGGAGAGATAGTTCAGTAATGCTATTTTAACATGAAGCTCTAAAATTAACAGCTTTTAGACATGAAAGCTCTCATTTTCTGTCAGACCATTTCATTTAGGTTGCAGAAGGACCATCACTAGCAGCTACTATACATCCCTGCATGCGTATCTCATGATAAATAAGCCAGTGGTATTTTGGTTCAAGTAAATGCTTTTTCTTTGTAAAATTGTGAGTCCTCGTAAATGACATGCTTGAATTTCACACATTTCACATATCCTTGACAGAGACTCTGACCCATACAACACCAAAAACTCTCATTTCTTTAGAGGCTTAATTAAACTCAGTAGAAGTAGAAACCATAACTGTGACCCATAAATCTAACCAGTCCATGGCTATGGCATCTGGAATTTTTAAAATTTTGTTTCACTCTCTCTCTCTTTTATTTTTTGGTCTCTCTCTTTTTTTTAAGTGTTAGGCCCTAAGGTAATTTTATACAAATGTATAGCAAACAAAGGTATGACAAATCTGAATAATTCATTCAGTATTTATATGTTCGTGTATTAAAATAATGTAAGTTAAAGCTTGTTTATTTTACATTTACAGTAGATATGAATGAACTTCAAAGTATCTGTTTTCTAGGTTTGGAATTTTATGACAAGCAACCCCTCTAGCTCTGGTAACTTATTTAAAAGCTTAGAAGTTCTTGTTAAAATACTCTGTATTAAGTACTGAGTGTTTCCTAGGGAACTCAGGGTATTTCCCTGTGAGTAATCTGATTTAACTAAGAAATGTATCCAAACCACAGTGTCTCTTATTGATCATAAACATTTGTATTAATATTTTACTGTAAAAGCTCTATCAATAGTCTAAATAATAGGTTGGTTCTTTGATAAAGCCGAACATTTTTTAAAGTAGAGGTATTTGGTGGGAAACAAGCTAATACACTAACTTTTAAACCTTTTTATACAGGATTAGCTGAACCATCCTTTGTTGCAAAACATGAAGATAGTTTGTTTAAGGATTTGTTTCAAGACTACGAAAGATGGGTTCGTCCTGTGGAACACCTGAATGACAAAATAAAAATAAAGTTTGGCCTTGCAATATCTCAATTAGTGGATGTGGTAGGTGTGCATATCATTACATACTTCATTTCATACAGGCTTCCTGGGAGCATCGTGGGTGCCCTGTGTTAGGCAGTGAGCAAGACAAAGATGAATGAGACAGTCATTTTCCTAAAGGAACTCAGCAGGGAAAAATAATTACTACACCATAGGTGTAGGAATGCACTGCTTATATGATATTGTATAGTTTAGAAATAATTTATTTGGTAATTATGATAGGCCTATTTTTAATAAGTTCAAAGATAGTAATCATTTTTTATGGAAGTTTCTCATTATGTTTGTTTAAAAATATGACTTTAGGTACATACCTCAATATCATAAAAGCCATCTATGAAAAACCTACAGCGAATATCATTCTCAACGGGGAAAAGCTGAGAGCTTTTCCCCTAAGGTCAGGAACG